CCGCAGAGTCTCACGCCAGGTGAAGGGCAGTGGCTTTAGCAGATATTACTGAGTCTGCTCAGCTCGTGTGTGCAGGCCGGGTGCACCCTAAGTAGCAAATTCCTGCCGTTTGCAGCTGTGGCTGGGCATCCTCAGGCCACTCCAGCAAATTCTCCAGGGAGGGAAGGGAAGGGAGGGGAGCTGAGCAGAGCAATGAGTAATTTCCTGCTGCTGGTTCCTGCCTCATATGCAACAGCCCTTCTCTGTCTCAGCAGCTCCTGTCTCTTTGATGAACCATCTCAAGTGGTGCTGGCAGTATGGAGGGGGCCGAGAGTGAACTGCTGGAGATCCTGGAAATGCTGGGAGAAAGGGAGCTGCAGAGATTCAAGGACAAACTGAGTGAAATCCAGCCGAAGGAGGGATACCAACAGCTCCCCTCTGGGAGCCTAAGCAATGCGGATCCTCCAGCCCTCACGGACCTGCTCCTCCTCTTCTATGGGACAGACTATGGGGCGGAGGTGGCTGCGGAGGCGCTGAGAGCCATCGACCAAGGAGCCCCAGCAAAGAGAATCGAGAGACTCATTGCTGCATTGAGAGCTGGTAAGGAATGAGCCAGGGCGACTGGCCCCCAGCCTGTCCCTTTCCCTGCAGCCTCCCTGTTCGCGGTGGGATACTAGCTAGAGCTGTTTGCGGTGCTGTTGTCACGCTGTTGGTGCCAGGGCATTAGAGACGCGAGGGTGGGGGTGAGGTAATATCTTTTATTGCACCAACTTCTGTTGATGAGAGAGACCAGCCTGTGAGCTGCATGGAGCTCTTCTTCAGCCCACAGCTCTGTGGCGCTTGAAAGCTTGTCTCACTTAGTTGGCAGCAGCATTTGGTCCAATAAAAGATCTTAACTCACCCACCTTGTCTCTGTCATTAGCTAGAGCAATGGTGCACAAACTGTGTGTGTGTGGGGGGGAGGGGGAAACGCCCTCTCAGCAAAAGAGGTTCTGGGGGAGGGAGGGCACAAAGAAACTGGGATCCCGTGGGTCCCACAGGACCTGCTGCCATAATAGCAGGAGCAGGATAAAACTGGACAGGGTATTGCGGGGCGGGACTAAAAGAATAGCCCTCCTGTGCCGCCAGGGCCGGCTTTAGGCCAATTCCCCCAAATCGGGCTCCGCGCCTAAGAGGGCCCCGCACCCAGTGGCAGGGCCACCCAGAGTGGGGGGCAAGTGGCAGAGAATCCCTTCCTTGGCTACAGGTGCCTTTTTAATTTTTACTCACCCGGCGGCGTTCCGGGTCTTTGGTGGCACTTTGGCGGCATGTCCTTCACTCGCTGCGGGTCTTTGGCGGCACTTTGGCGGCGGGTCCTTCAGTGCCACCGAAGACCTGGAGCGAGTGAAGGACACACCACCAAAGACTAGGAGCACGGCCCGGTGAGTACAAGCCCCACATGTTGTTTTTACGTGTTTTTTTTTTTTTAAGTCATCCCTGTCGGGGGCCCGTCGAAACTGTTCAAATCGGGCCCCGCAGTTCCTAAAGCCGGCCCTGTGTGCCGCAAACAACATGAACGCCCCAACCAGCAGCCGCTGCTGTCTTGGAACTGCCTTCAGAGCTAGGCGGGGCTGCCAGCAGTGACACGGAAGTAAGGGATTATTTCAGTTTACAAGTAAAGGGGAGAGGGGACAAATTCCGTGAATAGTAAAGGGGGGGACGGCTCCCAAACCTTCCTGGTTTACCTACCACCCTCTCAACTACTGGTGGGTAAAGTGCCACATGCAAATTTCTCCTTTTTTGTGCACATTTGCAATCTTAACAGGTTGAATTAAAGTATTGACAGATCCCTAGTAAAGTAAGTTTTGATTGTGGCTGGTGGAGTTCTGCTTAGGGAAAGGTTTCAGGGGGTAGCCGTGTTAGTCCGTATCAGCAAAAACAACCAGGAGTCCTTGTGGCACCTTAGAAACTAACAAATGTATTTGGGCATAAGCTTTCGTGGGCTAGAACCCACTTCCTCAGATGCATAGAGTGGAAAATACAGGAGCAGGTATAAATTCATAAAAAGATGGGAGTTGCCTTACCAAGTGTGAGGTCAGTCTAAGGAAACAATTCAATTAACAGTAGGATACCAAGGGAGGAAAATTAACTTTTGTAGTAGTAATGAGAGTGGGGAGAGTTAGAAGAGGAGGGAGTTTGGTCAGTGAACTCCAGGGGGACAGTTAAGGGTGCACGTTTTCAAGCTGGTCAGGAACTTGTTTTTTATTTTTTGTTTATAGGAAAATGTCAATTTCACAAAACTAAAATTGGCAGGAGCTGATTGGTTCTGACAAAACTTTCCTCAAGACAGTTTTGTCAGGTACAGCCTGGGATTTCTTCACACAGAGAGAGACCCAGCCCAGAATAGCCAGATGGTCAAGGAACTCACCTGAGTCAGGCAGAGCAGGGACTTGAACATGAGCCTCCCCCTTCCCAGGTGAGTGCCCTGACCAGCTGGCTGTTGGCCACTCTTGGATGGGTTGCTCTCTCGCCCCGCTCTGCGCGCGCCCCACTCCCCGCCCCGGTTTGTGCTGAAATCCCTCGAAACGTCTCAGTTCTTCTTCGAGTGCTTGCTCATATCGATTCCACTTAGGTGTGTGCGCGCCGCGTGCACGATTGTTGGAGAAGTTTTTTACCCTAGCAACCCCCGGTGGGTCGGCTGTGGAGCCCCCTGGAGTGGCGCCTTCATGGCGCTGAATATATACCCCAGCCGACCCAGCGCCCCCTCAGTTCCTTCTTACCGCCCGTGACGGTCGTTGGAACTGTGGAGCGTGGCATAGCTGTTCTCCTCTCTCCTAGCTTACCCGTTGTTTGTTGTAGATAGTTGTTAGTTGTGTTCTTTAGATTAGTTGTGGTTAATAGTTATAAATAGTTTTCGTAAGTTAGTGGGGGTTAAGGAGGCTATTATTCCCCCCTTTTCCCTCCCAGGCGCACAGCCGGGCTCATGCCCAAGGCTCCCGGTTTCAAGCCGTGCGCAACATGTGCTAGGCCTATGCCAACGGGAGACCCCCATGACTCTTGTCTGAAGTGCTTAGGGGAGTCTCACCAAACGGACAAGTGCAGGATTTGCAAGGCTTTCAGGCCAAGGACGAAAAAGGAGCGGGACTTCAGACTTAAGCAGCTCCTCCTGGAGGCAGCACTTAGCCCGGATCCTCCTTCGGCGCGCCAGGTTCCGGCACCGAGCGCCTCGGTGCGTAGCGCCCCAGCGGCACTGTCTGGTACTGCACCGCGGGCAGACGCGGGGAAGGCACCTCGGCACCGTCCTCCCTCGGCACCGCGTCCACCTCAAGCCCCTTGGCGCTGGTCCCTGTCTCCGGGACATAAAAGGCCCCGTAAGACTCAGGACGCTGCTGTCCTTCAGGCACCGGCTCTCCCTGCGGGGGTAGAGCCACGCCCGGCTCCCGATCGCCAGAGGGTGCAAGGACCATCAGCACCGTTGACTCCGGCACCTGGTGTGGAGCCGTCGAGCTGCACAGCGCTGCACTTGCTGCGCTCAGGGGTGTGAAAAAACACCCCCCCGAGCGCAGCGAGTGCAGCGCTGTAAAGCGCCAGTGTAATCAGTGCCTGCAGTGCTGCACGCTCGCTCGCAGCGCTGCAAGCTATTCCCCTCGGAGAGGTGGAGTACTTGCAGCGCTGCGAGAGAGCTCTCACAGCGCTGGCGGCGCGACTACACTCGTGCTTCATAGCGCTGCCGCGGCAGCGCTGTGAATCCGTGAGTGTAGCCAAGGCCTTAGTATCTCAGCACTCTCTCCCCATCCCCAGTAATGAATCCCTCATTCCCAGCCCTTTGTTCCCATCCATCTCAAACTCTGTCTCTCCCAACCTTGATCTGTCCCTCTCCCTGCACTCACCCATCTATCCCCATCTATCCACCCTACCAAATACCTACACACCACGTGCTCGATCCCCCCCCACAGTCCTACCGCCCTCCTCAACCAAATGCCCCACACATCTCACCCCAACACAGTGTTCCCAGCATGTCCCTCTATGTGGTCAGGAGCTGGGGGAGTAACAGGACTCCTCAAAGCAAGATCCATCCCCAAACCCTGCTCAGCTCTCTAGCTAAACAGCAACAAAAGCAACCAAAAAATGGTGAGGGTGGGGATGGTCCGGGAACCAAAGGAGTCATGTTTGCACTGGAAGCTGGATTGGGGCACACAGTGCAACAAGGATCCACGGGGGACTTCCCTCACTCTTGAAAGACCCCCTTAAAAGTATGTGTGTCTGCCTAATTGTGTGTGTGTTTGTGTGTATATGTGTCTCCTCTCTGCTTTGTGCCCATCCACCAGGAGGAGGTAGCGCTGCATCCTCTGGTCTTCCTCCTCCCCTGCAGGATCTGATCCCTGCCACATCCCAGGAGCCAGCACCAGCAGTGGGGGGAGGGGAACAGACAATGGTTTGGTCCAGGTGAGCACTAAGTGGGGATTCACTACAGGAGGAGGACGCTTTAGAGGAAAAAAATCTTTTAATTGTTTCCTCCCCAGCCACAGAGGAGGCAGAGTTGGGGGGAAGGGGTGATAAGTTGGGAAGACGTGACTACCCCACCCATCGCCCTGTGCCACGTAACACACGTTCCCTAAAATCATTAGTTCAGGATTTATTTTTAATTACTCCTCAGAGAAACATTATTTTGAGTGGCACCAAAAGCAGGAGAAGGAGCCGATGCCGCTTAGATGTGAGATAACACCTTTCCTGCCTGGGGCATGCTTATTGAATGATGAGCAATACCAGAGGATCATAGCTGAGAAAACCAGCCAGGAGCAGATGCGGAAGCTGTATGAGCTGGTGCCGAACTGGGATGAATGGCACAAGGACCGGCTCTACCAGGTGCTGAAGAGAACAAACGGAGACCTGGTTGAAGAGCTGGAGGGTAAATAAATGATATCAGGGAAATCCGCTTCCCATGCTCCCCATCATGAACCCTGATCCCATCTCGAGGGCGACACTAGATCACCTCTCTGGCTGTTTATCCCTCGCCCATCACTGCAGCATCAGAGCTGGGCATGGATTATTACGCCACCCCCACGACACTGTATAATGTGCAGTGAGCCTGTGGGAGCATTTGCCCCCAGGGATGAGATTATTTGGTGCTGTTGGGTCCATTCCAGACAGAGCCGGCTTTGGTTGCACAGAGCAGAGCTGGGCTGCACATTGCCCTATAGACTGGGGCTCAGTTCCGCTCCCCTTCCCATCCATAGGAGCTACACACCCACTCCTGATGGGGGGATTGGGTCCCCGGGGGTTGCTTTGGCTTGTTATGTAGGTTGGGGTATTTGTAACATTTAGTTTAGATTCTAACACCTCCAGAATATGGGAGGGGTTGGAGTTTGGCTCATGCCAAAACCCCAGATCCAATCTCTTTACCCAAAGAGGGCAAGGGTGTGAATTAAATCAGGCAGCGTTGGGTGGTGTCTAGAGTAAGTGGTGTGGTTGTATTTACCTTCCCGCTCCTCTCTACCTGGGACCTCCTACCTTCTTTGTTGGATAAGTGACATTTGCCCCCATCCCTGCTCATGTCTCTTTCAGGGTCTGGATTCCTTGTGGTGAAGAAGCAGGTGAGGGGAGAGAAGGAACTCTTGGTCCCAGAGAGAGGGGCAGGGCCCGCCCAGGGGTGGGGAATCACTGAATCACTCTGTGTGTGACCCTGGGGGACAATTCACCCTGGGAGAGGTTTTCAGGGGCAGGGAGGAGGTGGAGCCATGGCCCTGCATGCCCCCCACTACTCGGTGGAGCACTAAAATCAGCAATTGCCATTTATTTTAATGAAATCTCTCTCCAGGGGGACACTTTGTTGACCTGCACCGAGAGCAGCTGATCCAGCGATTCTCAGAAGTGGACGCAGTCCTGAAGCTACTTCGGGGGCACACGCTAACCCCTGAGCAATACCAGAGCATCAGCACCGGGAGATCCAATGTGGAGAAAATGCAGAAGCTGTACGAGCTGGTGCCGAGCTGGGGGAGGGAGCGCAAAGACCAGTTCCACCGGGTACTGTGTATAACAAACAGAGCCCTTGTTGATGAGCTTGAAGGTAGATAACTATAATCTTTCCTCAGGGCTGAGGTTTTCAAACTGTGGGGCACATCCCCCCGCCTCTTGGGAGGATGGGAAGGAACATTTGGGGGGTGAGTGGCCATCCCAGGTGGCTAATGCCAGCCCCAAACTAACTCATCTCAGTGGGCCACCCAGCCTGTGAGTTAGTGTCAACATCTGCGATGACTGCACCGATTTCTGCTCCTGGCAGCCTCCTTGTCCAGGGCTGGCCAACCTGAGAACCCAATGGGGGAGGGGCAGGCATTGGCCCTGCCATAATAGCTGCAGCAGTCACCAATGGGCAGTTTCCCTTCTCTATTGGGGAGACCACCAGGGACTCTGCGAGTCGAAAGCGGCACCACAGGACTATTTACTGTCCTGCCACCAGAGCCCCTTGCCGACCCCGGCCCTTCACTGCAGATTCAGGGCACAGAACCCTGTTCTCTGCTGGAAAGAGCCTGTGCAGGGCAAGCAGATGGGGTTGCGCTCAAGGCCCTGGTACAGCAAGGAACTCTGTTCAGCAGGGGGCCAGTACTCAGTGGGTGCAGCTGTCTGCTCCCCTCCTGACCCTGGCCTTTCAGGGCGGGTGGGGGGACAGTGACGGGTGGGGGGACAGGCAGGGAGCTGGGTTCAGGCATCCAAGACCACACTACCACTGCAGGGAGCAGAAGGCTTCCTCAACTGCCATATGGTGAGTACCCGCCCCTGGCAGGTGCCAGACACCCCTTGTGGGTACAGGGCTCCCCTCTCCCCTGCTCCCTTAGAAAAAGGGGTGTGTGCATGTGACTTGAATCTCCAGAAGGGGGTTCATCATAAAAAAGTTTGGGAACCTCTACGTTAGAGAGTTGCAGGCTAGTGTGCTGTAGGTTTACACCGTTTGCCAGGCACTAACTGGCCATCTGGACAAGCCCTTTAACATGTGTATTCGCCCATAGCAGCCAAAGGTCCTTCTTCCCTCACCGTACCAATGAGCCACTGTATTCACGCTTTATTCCCAACTGCAGTTCCACAGCAGTCAATTCACGATTCTATTTCACTTCCTGTCCCAGATTCCTTTTTGTGCAGTGTCGCTGTGTGGCTGTTTGTCAGCTGCCACGTCCAATCCCAGAAGTGGCTGCATTGCAGAACTAGGTTAAAAGCAATTATGTGGGTGGGGACAACAGCTACTGGGCTTGATGGGCCCATGAGTCTGATCTGGGGTGGCAGGCAGCAGGTGGGGTCCCAGGCTAGATGGGCCCATTGGTCTGATCCAGTTCTCGTCCAAGCTCCCCAGGGCTGTATATCTGTTAACTGTGTCCATGGGTGAATCCATCACAAAGGGGGCAGGATCCCTTTTCCCCACTGCCCCATGCAGAGCTCAGCAGCTGTCACTCGCACTGGGCTATGAAGAGATTCACCCGTGGGGGGCTCTGGGCTGTGGATGACTCTCTCTCTCTCTCTCTGGGCTTCAGGAAGAACGAGGGCCCCGTGTCTCACGCCTCCAAGGCTCACACTATGCTCCCGAGTGAGGGCAGCCAAAGCACCAGGCGAGCTGGTGGGCTGGACACCACACGAGAGATTGCAATGCCCCATCCCCTCCTCTCTCCATCTCTGCATAGGCCCAGCTTACTGGGGGGCCATGCAGGGGCAGCAGCATCATTGCCCCCATGGCAGTGAGCTCCTGCCTCTATACCCAGGTCTTGAGGACTGGACGGGACTTTGTCTGGGCTTAACCAATGGCTCTGATGAATTGCTGGAGAGAGCCTGTGGGGGGCGCTGGGACAGACCATGCTCCCCCAAGGACAGCCTCAGTCCTAGGGCATCCGGTCCCTGATCTATAAGGTTTCTGGGGATTCCCATCTAGGGCCCAGTTTCCCCCTCCTGTCCTGTAAGTGGCTGGAAGGGGTGAGGCCTAGCTGGGCACCCCACTCTGGAGATAGAAATGCACATCCCACCTGCATCCCCACCCATTTCCCCCCTCCCAAGGCCAGCTCTCCCCAATGTCCAGATGTCAGCAGAATCTGCCTGCTACAATTCAAACCCTGGATGTTCTTTCCTCTCCTCTAATTGGCTGTTTGCCTTTTCTTCCCAGCCAGTCACTGTCCCTCGTACCACCATGCTGCTGATCTCTCTGCCAATTGGCTCTTTGCCCCACCCCATCCCCCCATCACAGTCTTGCCCCCACTGCTGAGTTGTCTTTCTGTCCCCCTGTGCTTCTTTTCCTTCGCTGTTACATCCCTCCTCCCTCCCTCACATTTTCTCACTCCCTTGCTCCAGTGGACCCATCCATTCCTGCCGTCCTGTCCCCCCGCCATCCATTTCTGATAATTGTAACCCACAAGACAGGCCCATCCATCACCCGCGGTCCCTCCCTTTGTTATAGAAAGGACCATAGGTGGCATGTGAGTCTTTTGTCTGGGGAGGTTATGCCCAGGAGTGCCAGAAGCTCCCTAGAATTGGGGGGGCCACCGGTGCCCGGACTGTGTCCCCACCCCCTACTCTGCCCCGAGGCCCCGCCCCCACTCCACCTCTTGCCCTTAAGGCCCCGTCCTCGCTCTGCCTCTCCGTGCCCCTGCTGCACCTCTTCCCCCGAGCCCTGCCCACTGCTTGCTCCTATCTGCCCCCCGGGTATAGTCTGTGTGAGAGGTTGTGCAGGGGTTGTGTGTGTGTGTGTAGGATTGTGCGGGGGGGTATAGTGTGGGAGGGGTTGGGCGGGGGTGAGTGCTAGATAGTCCTGATACTCCGTGATCGACCCTTCTGCCCACCCCCATTTATTTCCCTTCAGAGGCTGGCCTAAGGAAGTGCAGCCTGGCCCCCGACTGACCAGGAATTCAGCCCCCCGCCTCGCCCTGTCCCGAGGCACAGACTGTCCGGGAGCTCCCCCTGGGCAAGGCAGATTTGCCCCAACCCCAGCTCAGGGCTCTGGCTAAACGGCCCTAGGTAGACGCTGAAGGAGCCTGGCTACCAAACCCAGTGCTTCAATGGGGTGTTTTTATGTCCCTCAGGGGAACATTTTGTGGTGCGGTACCGGGAGCAGCTGATTCAACGCGCCTCTTCAGTTGACAGAATCCTGGGTATGCTTCATAGGGACAAGCTGCGATATGATGAACAGAATAAACTGTGGATGGAAGGTGAGCTGATGCGGAGCTGTGGTATGTGGCACCAGAAGCAGCCCTACCCGGTGCTGAAGGCAACAAACAAAAGCCTCACTGAAGAGCTAGAGGGTAAAATCAAATATGGGAAATAACTTCCCACTGCACCCCCAGGCGGCTGCACCCCAAGCGCCTCCCGACAGAGCCGCCAGCTCTGCTCTCTGGGTTTTATCCCTAAGCCATCACAACGGTACAGGGGCCTGCACACAGACAGGGCCGCCCAGAGGGGGGTGCAAGTGGGGCAATTTGCCCTGGGCCCCGCAGGGGCCCCCACGAGAGTTTTCCGGGGCCCCTGGAGCGGGGTCCTTCACTCGCTCCGAGGGCCCTGGAAAACTCTTGCAGGGCCCAGGCCCCTGGAGCGAGTGAAGGCCCACTGCCTAAGACCCGGAGCTTCTTACGCACTGGGTCTTCCGCGGCAATTCGGTGGCGGGGGGTCCTTCCGCCCCGGGACCCGCCGCTGAAGTGCCGGGCCGCCGAAGACCCCAGGCCCCCTGAATCCTGTGGGCAGCCCTGCACACCGATGTTAAAGCAGCTGGGTGGTGCCAGGGCGGGAGCTGCAGGTGGGCTATAAATCGCCAGCAGCTGTAACTCTTCACTGGCCATAGCAGTGCCTCTGAAAAGTGCCCAAGACTCCATGAAGTCCAGTGAGCACTTCTCTGCTGCTACTGATGTTACAGGGAAGGTGTCCAGATGCTATGGCGATGGGGGGCAGGATGAATCGATGACAGAATAGATCCGCAGAGCTGCCCATGTCAGGTCAAGCAGAAGGGGGTGGGAGCAGAGAGAGAGCCCAGACCTAGAGTGGGTCCAAAGGGGAAGCAGCCACTCTGCTGAGCCCCTGGCTGTTGGCAGAGCTGATTGGGCAGCAGCAGGAGGAGGAGGGTCTCCAGTGCCTGAGCCCAATCAGGCCCAAGCTCCACCCTCAGCTCCTCCCACTCTGGTTCTGACACTCTCTGGCCGGCTTCAGCTGCAGACTGGGTCCCTGCAAAGTCGGCAGAGGGAACAGTGGCCAGAAGGAAGGGATCTGGGGGCCAAATCCAGCTCACAGGCTGTATGTTCGACACCACTGCTCTGTGCCCTTCTGATCCAGCGAGTGACGCAATCCAGAGTCCCATCCTCGTTCCCAGCTGCCAAAAACTGCTGCCTTCATATCTTGCTCAAAGTTTGTGTAGTGATGGTAAATGCTTTGCATGTTCCTCCCTAGAGGCAGCTGCATTTCAGTGCAGGGCAGGTGATCCTTATCTGTTCAGCTTGTAAAGCACTTTGGGATTGCTCTGGGTGAAAGGCACCACAGGGATGTTTTGTTATGAAGAACTCGATTATGCCCTGTCCCTGCAGGTTGCATGGGCGGGGTGTGTGTGTGTGTGTGTGTGTGTGAGAGAGAGAGAGGGGGAGATGGGCACAATTCACCCTGGCATAGTTTTTTAAAGGGCAGGGAGGAGGTGGAGCTCTAGCTCTGTGTGGCCCCCCACCCTCCACTGGTCTGTGGAGCACTAAAATCAGTAATTTAAAAAAAAGTCTCTTCAGGGCAGAGGTTTTCAAACTGTGGGGCGCCTTGGTGGGGTGTGGAGGAATATTTAGGGGTGAGTGGCAATGCCAGGTGGCTTGTGCCAGGCCCACATGGCAGGGCCCAAGCCAGCCCTCGGAGAGGACAAGGAGGCAGCGCCACTTCCATCCCCTGACTCACCTGGGCGGCCACCCACCCTGTGGGTCAGTGTCAACCTCTGCCACAGCCACACTGATTTCTGCTCCAGCAGCCTCAGCGCCCCACACTGGCTCTGCCTCCAGAGACCTTTGCATGGGCCTTTCCCTACCCTGAAAACGCAAGGGAGGAGGGGCAGAGGGGCAGGCCTTGGCCCTGCCCTAGCAGTTGCAGCAGCCACCACCCCTATTGGGGAGGCCACCAGGGACTCTGCAAGTGACACATGGGACTAGTGACTCTCCTGCCACCAGAGCCTCTTGACGACCCCGGTCCTTCACCACAGATCCAGGGCACAGAGCCCTGCCCTCTATTGGAAAGAGCTTGCGCAGGGCAAGCAGATGGGGCTGCGCTCAAGGGCCGGGGACAGCAGGGAACTCTGTTCCGCAGCTGTCAGCTCCCCTCCTGACCCTGGCCTTTCAGCTCAGCCCTGTTTGTTTCCCATGCGCACAGGGGCGGGTGGGGACGGGGGACAGGCAGGGAGCTGGGTCCAGACAGCAGAGACCACCCTGCCACTGCAGGGAGCAGAAGGCTTCCTCAACTGCCACATGGTGAGTATCCGCCCCTAGCAGGTACCAGACACCCCTCGTGGGTACAGGGCACCCCTGCCCCCTTAGAAAAAGGGGGGCGTGAATGCAACATGAATCTCCAGAGGAGGGCTCAGCAAAACAAAAAAAGTTTGGGAACCTCTACATTAGAGAATTGCAGGCTAGTGTGCTGTAGCTTTATACCCGTTTGCCAGGCACTAACTGCTTCTTCCCTCACTATACTGCTGGGGCCACTGTATTTGCTCTTTATTCCCAACTACAGTTCCACATAAGTAATGAGGGTTGTGCTCAATCTCCAAGTTTGGTCAATTCATGATTGGCTTTCACTCTCTGTCCCAAATTCCTTTTTCTGCAGTGTCGCTGTTTGTCAGCTGCCACGTCCCATCCCAGAAGTGGCTGCATTTCAGCCACAGGTTAAAAGTAAGTGTGTGTGTGGTGGGAGAATAAGGGCTAGATGGGCCCATTGTTCTGATCTGGCTTGGTGGGGAGTAGATTCTGGGCTAGTTGGGCCCATGAGTCTGATCTGTTGTGGCAGGCAGCAGGTGGGATCTCAGGCTAGACGGGCCAGTTCTAATCCCAGCTCCCCAAGGACGTGTATCTTGTAACAGTGTTCATGGTTAATCCATGACAAAGGGGGTGGGATCCCAGAGCATACGGCCTATGGGACAGTGCCCTCTAGTGTCCCCCTCCACACCAAGGCCCTGTTCCCCACTGTCCCACTCAGAGCCAAGCAGGAGTCCCTCGCACTGGGCTATCGGGGGATCCAGTCCGTGGGGGGGGGGGCTGTGCTCTTTTTCACTTGCTCTCTCTAGGCCCCATGAAGCACCAGAACCCCGTGTCTAATCCCTCCAAGGCCCAAGCTACGTTCTTGAGGAAGGTCAGCTAAGGCACCGGGCGAGCTTGAGGACAGGACACCAAATCACAGATGCCACTGCCTTATCCCCTCCTCTCTCTTCCTCCACATTATCCTCCATGTTGGGGAGCTATGTGGGGGCAACAGCATTGTGGCTCCCATGGTGTTGAGCTCCCATGTCTCTAGCCAGGCCTTGGAGAATGCCAGGAGCTTTGTCTGAGTTTAACCAATGGCACCAGTGAGGGCCTGGGGAGAGCCAGCAGGAGGTGCTGGGGCAGACAATGCTTCCCCATGGGCAGCCTCACTCCTAGGGCACCTGGTCCCTCAAGGCGTGTGGGCTCTGGGGATCCCCATGAAGGGCACAAATTCCCCCTCCCACTCTGAGAGCTGTGTCTCACCTGGATGCAGGCCACGTGATCCTCATCTCTACAGCTTGTAAAGCACTTGGGCATTGATCTGGGTGAAAAGCACCACAGAGATGTTTTGTTATGAAGAACTACATTGTGCCCTGTCCCTGCAGGTTGTCTGTGTGTGTATAAGAGGAAATTCCCTCTCAGGATCTGCCCTTGTTGGAATCAGAGGAGGCTCTACCTATTAGGGTTCTGATTGCGTCTAACTAAACATTTCCTGATCTGCTTACATATCTGTGATTCCAAATGAGTAGTTTCTAGGTATGAGGCTGATGATTTTCATACCTGGCCCAAGCCTTACAGCATATTTGCTGCCCTGTCTCTGCAGACGAGAGAACAGCAACAACACAGACAAAGGGGAAGTTTTTTCTCAATTTTAAGATTCTAGCCCTCCCATTGGCTCTTTTGGGCAGGTGCCCACCCACTTCCTCTTACTTAAGCATTTCAGGTAAGGCAAGTAGAGAACAGCTGCTGAGAAGGATTTTTATAGCTAACTGACAGGCTGGATGTCCATAAAAGGGAGCTACCGTACCCCTCATTTACCACAGGTGCTTTGATAGACCCCCTCTTCCCTTCCCCATATGGTGAAAAAGGTGCAGAGGAGATACTACGTACCCTTACATGGGTTTGACCATTTTGATAACCATCTCCCTCCAGGCTCCTTGGTAGTTGTCTGCTAATGATAGAGAGAGAGAGACAGAAGCACTAGGTGTCAATGTCGAAAGGGAAAGAGGCAAAGAAGCTGGGCCTATTTGGAAGTAAACTTTATTCCACAGGTGGTTTACAGCTCAGAATTGTGAACCAGCCGGCTCTGCTGGGTCGTTATGATTTTAGCCTGTGGGATAATATTTTAAAGTTTAAAGAGAGGCTACTTGACAAGGGGAAACAAGAATTCACTGCAGTGGTGAATGAGGGCAAATTAGTTGCCAGACGGGCTCAGCAATCAATCTAGATCTGCCTGACTTTGCAGCTCGGGCCATGTCTTCTGCCATCACCATGCTGTGTTGTTTGTGGCTGCAGACCTCCAGTCTTCATCCAGCCGTACAGCAAACTATTCCAGACCTCCCTTTTGAGGGTCCTTTGTTCTCTTCAGAGAAAATGGACAATAGGCTCCATAGCCTTAAGGATTTGAGAGCCACGCTTAAGTCTCTCGATATCTACATGGCTGTGACAAAAAGAAAGCGATTTTGCTTGCAGGAATCTCATTGATATCCACTTTTTATTCCTCATTCCCAAGACCTGTTGAGAAAGAGGGGTAGAATTTACCTCCCCATCTGGAGAGGCCAGTTTACCTAGACTGATTTGGCTCTTCTAAACAATTGTTTTCATGCATTGGTTGAGGACAGATTACCAGTCCCCAGAGCACCATCCTCTACTTACCCCTCTATTTGCCAATCATTTATCCCCCTTCCTAAGTGCTTGGTGCCACATCACCAGAGGTCATTGGTCTTAAGAACGGTGGAAGTGGAATACACCCTTCAGTTTCTTTCTGTCCCCATTTCTTACCTTCCTTCCCTGTCCCTCTTGGGGCCAGTCTCTTGACTTCATTCTACTGCAGGAAGTGCAAGTTTTCCTTCACGTGGGTGTCATGGTGTCTGGAGTGGCTCAAGACCAAGAGTGCCTACCTCAGGGCAGACTGCGAAAAGGAGAGTAGACACTCCAAACTGGTTGTATGTTCTATGATTAGATCTCACCCATCCAGAACCAAATGTGAACTCCCAAAGTACCACAGTAGTCTTATAACGGAGTCACAGACAGTCCCCTTAGACACTTCAGTCTGTCTTGCCACCAAGATGTGCTGGACTTTGTGATCAATGGGTCACCTTTGTTCAGCGTGTCCTCGTCTGTCCCTCCACGAATGCAAGTCGATGCCATACCATTTTGTTGCAAGCAGATTCTTTCCATTTCTGGCCAAAGAGTTTTGTCATGGGATCAGCCCAGCGTGTTTTTGGTCTGCCCAGCGGTGAGTTATGGCCTCTGGGGATCCAGTCACTAATGCGGGTTGTCCACCTATTGTCTTGCCTACGGACTACATGACTTGCCCATCTCTGCTTTGCGTCGTACATCGCCTGCACTATATTGGTCACCTCTGTATACCTTCTGGTTTCATTCAGTATGTGATCATGGAGCGATATCTTACACATTCGACCCCGGCCCTTCACCACAGCTCCAGGGCACAGAGCCCTGTCCTCTGCTGGAAAGAGCCTGCACAGGACAAGCGAACGAGGCTGCGCTCAAGGGCCGGGTCAGCAGAGAACTGTTCAGCAGCTGTCTGCTCCCCCCATGACCCTGGCCTTTCAGCTCAGCTGTTTGTTTCCCATGTGCACAGGGGCAGGTGGGGGGACAGGCAGGGAACTGAGTGTAGACAGCCAACACGACCCTACCACTGCAGGGTGCAGAAGGCTTCCTCAACTGGCACATGATGAGTACCTGCCCCCAGCAAGTACCAGGAACCCCTCGTGGGTACAGGGCACCTCTCTCTCCTGCCCCTTTAGAAAAAGGGTGGGGAAAGCCTTGCAAGCAACATGAAGCTCCAGAAATTGTGGGAATTTTTTTTTTTAAAAGTCATGGACTAGCAAAAATGTCAAGAAAAAAAACCACAACTCTTTTTGAAGTTATTACTATTAGAATTGTGAAAGCACCTACAGAGATCAGAGATCGGTCTCTATAAGGCTGGTGGAAATGTGTCACATTCTAACAATTTTGAATTTTAATGAAGAAGCTGGAGGAGAATTGAACCATTTTTGCGATTTTATTCTCCTGATTTTTGACTGGCTGAATTCAAAATGACTGAAGCAAAAATGTTAAACCTGACTTGTATTGTAGATCTCACTGAGATCCAGACATCAATCCCAGTTTGAAAAAAACACCGGCTTCCTTTATAAAGTGCTATGAGATCTACTGAGGAAAAATGCTACATTGCTCTTTCTCTCATCCATAGGACATTCCAGTCACATGGAAGCTCCTCATGATCAAATTTCCACTGAAGAACTGACATCAGCATCAGGTGAGTGAGCACAATTGCCCAGGGGGTTGGAACGTGCCCCAGTGGAAATTCACCGCAGAGTTGGACAAAAACAGCTCCAGGCCTGGGTGTCACAACACTGTTGCTTCAGGGGCTTGGGCTTCTGGACTTTTCCCTAAGGAAGGTGCCACATGGTGCTGGGACTGGATCCATTTTCCCCAGCCTGGATTAGACATGGGCAGTGTCCTGGATTTCACTACCTCTGACTTCTTAAAATACCAGTTTTCAAGCTAATCATCTCCTCCTGTTTGAGCGCAGAGCTAAGGTGATTTGGAGATATCTTGAGTGACCCCACTAAGGTCAGCAGAGTTAGGACCAGGTTCTGATCTTAGTGACCCTGGGGTTAGTCCATTTGGAGTCACTCCAGAATTGTATCACTGTACCTGAGATCAGAATATAGCCCTGACTCCATTGTCATCAGTGGGGTCACTCTAGATCAGGGGTCGGCAACGTTCGGCACGCGGCTCGCCAGGGTAAGCACCCTAGCGGGCCGGGCCAGTTTATTTACCTGCTGACGCGGCAGGTTCGGCCGATCGCGGCCCCCACTCGCCGCGGTTCACCGTCCCGGGCTCATGGGGGTGGCAGGAAGCTGTGGCCAGCACATCCCTTTAAATGCAGTACGTGTGAGAAGAGCTTCAGTGACAGCTCCAACCTCACAAAACATATGAGAATCCACAAGGGTGAGAAACTCTTATATATTAGATTTGGCTGAGAATTTTCTCTCAAAATTATTTTTGATTTTTCAGAGAGTACATTTTCTGTTGAAAAAAGTTTCCCTGGGAAATATTTTGAATTTGCTGATATGTTTTGATTTTTCCATTGGGAAAATTGAAACAAAATATTTCAGTTTGAGTTGGTTTGACCTGAATCAATATATTTTGGTTTGTTGAATTGACCCAAAATGTTTTGAGTCAGTTCAACATTAAGCTGCATTTCCTGTGGTACATTGCCTTATGGGAGTGGCAGTTCAGGCCCCCATTCATCCTGTGGCCTGGGCTCCCTGGCTGGACTACATCTCCCATGATGCCACACCATCTCCCTGCTGATCCTGCAGCATGCTGCATTATGGGAGTCACATTGCAGCTGATGCATCATGGGAGTTGTAGCCTACTTAGGGATCCCAGCCCAAAGGGGAAAATGGGGACATTGGACAACTAGCTTTAATGGAGCGATGGATCACCACAGGGAAATGCAGTTTAACATTGAACTGACTCCAGACAACGTGTTTTGGGTCAATTCAACAAGACGATATGAAACATTTCAATTCAGGAATGTTGAAATGTTTAGTTTCAATTGAAAATGCCAAAAGAAAACATTTCACCTTTTCTGAATCAAAATTTTCAGAACTTGTTCTGCACCAAGTTTTGCTGTTTCAACTTTTGTCGTGATTCAGGGTGGAAAAAAAAGTTGAAATGTTGGAATTTCCCACCAATATTTTGCTCAGTCTGTTATATACGTGATGAATATGGGAACAGCTTCCATCTGAACGGACACCCAAAAAAGTCTCAAGTGTCCCATGACATCACAGATTTAGCCATTATTTTAACACTAGTCACCTGTGCCCATCTATCTGTATAGATATAATGTGCTACTGCATGGTCTGGGCTGGTGAAGTGGGCTTTAACTCACCTCTTAAATACTTTCTCTGTATGGCCTCAGGCCTTCCAGGCATGGAGATTAGGATATGAATTGCAGAAGCCAATTCCAGTGACCCACGACCATTATTATTTTTGTTGGTGGTGGTGTCTGCTCCCATGCTCTAAGGATGTTCCCCAGGATCAGACAGTGTGAGACGAGCTCACTGAGCAGAAACTGGCATTGGAGACAGGGAAGTAGGAGGGAGAGGGATTAATTGTGGAATGGAAAGGACCAGACGAGGGGTAACTATGGAGTGATGGGTAACACTGCTGTGGTGCTAACCTCAGTCTTTGGGCACTTGGGAGTGGAAGGATTCTGTTGTGTCTGGCCTGCCCTCACATCTCCCCAGAGCTGAGGACAGTCTTGCCTTCAGGATGTATTGCCCTGACCCAATACTTTCCCTTCTGCAGCAGGAGTGAGACGCAGGAGTGAAGATGCCACTTCAGGCTCCTGGGGAAAGGACAGATGTGATTTGTGTCACAGAGAGAAGGTAGGGGATTGTGTTTGTTCTCTGTGTGTTCTGTCCCCATCACTGTGGTGTCTGGGCACTGTCTCACACCGTCAGTGTGTCTGTGCTGTGTGGATGCCCCCAGATGGGACACTGTTTAACTCAGAGGAAATCACACACCTGTGTTTATTTTCTGGGATCAAAGCTCAAGGGATGAGGAAATAGAAGAAGAAGCTGAGAAGTTAGCCGCAGTTCCAGTCAAAAGTGACTATGTAAAAATGGCCCTTTCTTCCTTGACAGAGCTGGTCCCCATGTATAGCGGAGCCAGAACTGCTGACTGGAGTAACAACGAGTTTTTGCTCCTGTTAAGCCTGTAAAGTCAACATAGTGTAGAGAGAGCAAGGAGGAGTCTAATCTGGCTCTGGCATCATCAACAGAACTGACACTAAAAATTGCTATTAAATTGCCAATCAGTGAATCCCCACTGAAAATTCCCAGACAAAGACTGCCTTAGATAGTAATAATGTTAAGTATGTATTAGTAATTTAAGGGCAAAAAAAAAAAAAATAGACGTTGCAACTATCCCAAAACCAAACACTACAAGCTCAGGGCATTCAGAGTTAAGGTTATATCTACAGGGCCACCCAGAGGATTCAGGGGGCCTGGGGCAAAGCAATTTCGGGGGCCCCTTCCATAAAATAATGTTGCAATACTATAGAATACTATATTCTCGTGGCGGCCCCTGGGGCAAATTGCCCCACTTGCCTCCCCCTCTGGGTGGCCCTGTATATCTACAAGAAAGCCAAGCATATTAAGATCTGAAAATGCACAGTTAAGGCACCCAGTAACCTTAACGGAGCCCTGGAGTGATGCCACAGAATACCAATACAATTGTGATTAGTTAATCAGAGTTTATAGTTCTAAATTAAATTTAATTGATTTCAAAGACACACATCTTCTTATCACTCATGGTGTCACTGCAGGTCAGGGGCCACCATTTTTGCCAAGGACAGTTTTCATTCCCACTGGGAAAAATGGGAGGTGGTGGCCATTTTGAAAGAGGGTGTTTTTGCTGAAGGACATTCCATAGCCTCACTCTCATTGAGGGGAGGAGAGGAAGCCAGAATGAAGCCTATAGTCCTATGAAAAGTCAGGGGGGGGGCAACTGCCCCCAGTGCCCCATAGCAAATGATGCCCCTGGTAGTCAGAGCAACAAACTAGGAAGATGCAGCACTTTGTAGCAGCACTTTGAATGAACCAGAGGGAATGAGTTTACTGCAGTCAAGACACAAGATGAGCCAGGCTTGGAAAAGAGTTTTGGCAGTGTGGGCAGGTTGCATGCTGAAGGTTTTGTACAGTACGCTGCATCTAGCTAACACCTTTTTCTCATGAGAACCATCCAGCTGAAAATCCTTACTGGAGCCAAGTTAATACAAATGTGTTTGTTTTAGAATTTTGCAGAAGAAGTAAAACCAGAGATTTTGCCAGGCCCAGAGGAGAACCAGAAATTGTACAGGTCAGAGATGGGGCATTATTTAAGTGGAGCTGGTAGTAACACATAGAATTAAGGTTTCCTGACACTTTCGATTATGAGACCCTGTTTTCAGTTGCTTAGAATTTTGCCATAATTTAAGCTTAACATTTTTCCACCCTGGGTGTCTGCCTCAGCTAAATTTCAGATAAATGGTTCATCTGTTTCTGAAAATAAAAGTAGGGGCAAGTGTTGTTTAGTCCATGTTAAAAAATTCTTACAACTGTTTCCTTGAGAAGCTCTAGCACCTCCATGCTTTAGAGCAGGGACTCGAAATTTGGTAATGGGTTTTTTCTGTTCTTTTGAAAATCCACCTAAATTTGGGCCCAAGTTATAAGTCTATGAAAAATCACAGGTCAGACATGCTCTATTGGGGGAGGGTCTGTTTAGATTTATAAAAATGGTAGGAGATGTTTCAAACCCATAACACATGTTTGTTTAAGTCTGTCAAAACGGAGATGGAAGAATTAGTATGTTTAGCTGTACATTGTCTAGATCTGATTCTGCCATTGGACTTGTTAGGCGCTAAAATCAGTGTCTTTTCTAAGTTAACTTTCAGACAATCAGTGTAGGAGGGTCTAGTGGGTAAGAATTGGGGGCGGGGGTAGTCCTGGTCTCTATCCCTGGCTCTGGGGTTTAGGGTCTAGTGGTTATGGGGGTGGGAGTCAGGACTCTTGGGTTCTATACCCAGCAATGCAATTTTTGGTAAGTTTATTTCTCTCAAATAAAAATTAAGTGTGTGTGGAGAATTACAGTGCATGGGCCCTGTACCCATACTGGGGGGACCTCAACTGGATAGTAAAATAAATATATATATTTTTAAAAATAGGGCAAATAACCCCTTTTATCCTGTCCTCTGCCCCCACCCAACCACTCACTCTGCTGGGCCTGTAGTCTCTGTGCCTCTGTTTCTCAGCCCATCACACCATGGGAATGATAAAACTGATGGGCACTTTGCATTTAGTGTTGTTTAACTCTCTTCTTCCCTCTCTTTGATGTGCAGGGTTCACTTCCCCCAGGCAGGCTCCTTCAGATGCTCTGAAACTGAACTGGGGTTCGAGGTGAGGGCAGCCGTGACTCTCAAATACAACTATGAATCTTGGCATTGTCATCAGACAGAACTGGACATGCAGCAGTGGATGATCGCTGGCCCTTTGTTCAACATCTGGGCGGAACCGGCCGGGGCTGTGGCAGCTCTGTACCTCCCACACTTCATGTGCCTCGCAGGTATGGCAGATAAATAATGACTATAAAAGCTCTATAAACCCATAGATCTCAGTGATTTTGTAACAAACCATGACTGCAAACGCCCACAAACACCATAAGTATCAGCAGAGACTGAATCCAAGACTTTCAGCACCGGAGGGCGGGGGGCAGACAGACCTAGGGCAAAAGTCAAAGAGCTGAAGGACTGAGTCCTTTGGTTCTTGGTAAATAACAAGCTACTGTAGTTGCTGGGTCCAGCATGATCATGGAGTCATGATCACGCGCACTAAAGCCGTGTATGACACTTTACAAAGAATTGGATGAGGTGGTTTGATTTAGCTCTGTTGATATGGACTGTCCTGTGCTCCCATTTACCAGGAGTTAGTGTATATGGACCGTCACTAATACACAGGGTCTGTGCTATGCCCTTGCCTGTAAGCTGTCCCTTAGAGGAACCCTGTCAGTGTGCCAGATCCCCAAGGGGTCACACTTTTCCAAAAGGGTAGGTCATGTGGCCCCAGTGCCTCCAAAACTGAGCCTCTGGGCTCCAGCCCTCCTGTTCCGCACCGTGAGCTCTGCCTGGTGAGTCCCACTGAGGTAGACTCTGTTCAGAGACCTTTACCCTCTTCAGGGACCAGTGCAGGTCAGCAAGTATCTGCAGTGATGACACGAGGCAGCCTGTTCACAAAGGGAATAGGTTGGAATAGTCCAGTGGAACACAGCATGGGGAAGTCCTTGGGTTAGTATAGAGCAGAGGTCCCCAAACTGTGGGGTGCACCCCCCTAAGGGAGCACGGAGGAACATTCGGGGGAGGCATGGCTGGGTCTCAGGACAGCCCCCATGGGAGGTGGGGCGGAAGTAACACCCAGCTCCGCTCCTGGCCCCGGCTGCCGGCCTGAGCTGAGGTGCCGCTCCCAGCCCTGCCCCAGCCTCTAGCTGTGGTCCCAGCCTTGGCTCCCTTACCCCTGTCCACGTCTCCCACCTCCCAGGGCCACGGCCCCACTCCTGGCCCCGGCTCCAGGGGAGGCATGGACAGAGGTATGGGGGGCACGAGGTAAAAAGTTTGGGGACCACTGACATAGAGAAGCAAAAATTAAGACGTAGTCCAGACGGGCCAAAGCCAGGGCTGCCCTTTGAGCCGTAGTGCTGTAGGAAACATCTTCACTTCCTTTCTCTGTCCCTTTGTCCCAGTCCAGGTGAGTGGTCGGTGTCTCTGAGCCCCACGCTTAGCACAGGTACATGACATCTCTGTCCACTGTCCTCCGCTGCAGCAAAACCCCACCAAGTTCACATGTTCCACCCATTTGAGCCTCCCGTTGCTAAGCGTTAATCGTTCAGTCACTGGGGTTCCCATTGTCTTCCCGGATCCTTGACTGATTTGTGAATGTTCCAGCCAGTCCTAATGGCTCATTCATACCACCCCAGACAGTTACATGACCCAAACTCCACACGTCTCTGGCTCTCCCCCAGGAGGGACTTTAACTCTTTGCACCCTCTGGGTAGCAACACCAAGCCAAATAATTGGACTACCACACAAATAATTCATAAAAATATTACAGGCAAGTCCCACTCTCATCACATTGACCATACTGCATAAGTGAGCAGCTGCTTGGATGTGGAAGCAATATTAAAAAACATCTGGATAATGCTAACTAGCAGGGAGTTTTCAGATTGCCCCAGACCTTCTCTGCACTAAGTGCTGCTAGAAACCATGGCTTGGGCAGATTGAACGCACAACATCTGCCCCAAATACTGGTTGTACCAGGTGATTGCAAAGCCCAGAAAGGGTCTTCTGCTAGGGCTTCTCAAAATTGGGGGCTTCTGCAGTTCTTTTTTCCCAGCATGGGTGGGAAAGCACAGACACTAACTGCAGCAGTTCAGTCGGGCCTCCTAACTCATTCCTATAATGCACTCCCTTGGGTATGGCACTTACGAGACGATCCTGCTCCCATCTTTGGCTACAAAATTAAACACACAGCTATTGTATTTAAAAGCCTGAATTTTGGCCTTGTTAGAAGCTCCCAGTCACTTTTAGAGAGTACCACACAATTCCTTATGATAAACACTTAAGCAAACAAAGTAAACTAATTTTTTAAACAGTACTTGAAATATTCTTAAATTACTTTGTAACAAAAACTGTTAGACAGAACGTCTTCGGGTGTATTCTTCCTACAGAGGCTTTAACAAACTGACCATTCTGATAATGCAATGCACCTTCATGTCATCTAGGTGTGGTCTGTAACATCTGCACCACAATGTCGGCTGTCACTCACAAATGCTCACATCTCTTTAATTTAGCATACACACACACAAGCACACATTTTTTTCCCTCTGACCTTCTTCAGAGACCATTTCTCAATCTATAACTTGGCTTATCTTGTAGTTTGTGTGTTGCCTGGATTTTGGAATAAAACTACAGAGCTTTTCAATGTCCAAACACTTCTGTTTTGGTAGCAAACAGAGTCTGCTCTGTGGATCTTCTTAGCTACAGGTATTCAGGCCTCTGTTAATAGCTGAGTTGCTCTCAGTTCGTGTGATCAGATAGAAAATACATAGCCAGGATGTTACAGGTTTTGACATTTTCTATAGGGCTTTTGCTCTGTAAGGCACTGACCTTTTCCCCAGTAAGCTCAGCTGGGTCAGATGTGGGATTTACAAACTCATCTTATTGAGCTTTGCTTCTGTTCTGTTCTATGTTGGTTTTACCCAACATCCTCCCTCATTGGTAAAGGCTGGAGTAACACTCGCCTACAGCCAAAATGTTGCAGGTCTGGAGATTCTGCTGTGACAGCAGCTGCAGCTTCTGGCCTTGCATCATTGTCATTCAGCCAAGTCCACTGGGAACTTCAGTAGCTTCTATGTGCCTATAACTCACTGGTGGGGCACCTCCTTGCATCTGGGTCTGGGGATCAGCTCTCACCCAGTCTTGTGGTTGCTCGCCTTGTGATCTCTCTCTGGCCTCAGGGTGCTCCCTCTTCATGACTCATCCCTCTGGGCCTGGTCACTATAGCCCTCCCCTTCTGGGGTATCAAGTCCCACTGGGCAAACTGTCTATCTGCCATCTCAGGCAGTCTTCTGATCCACTTCCAAGTCTGTGCCAGTGGCCGGTAGGGGAACCCGGGCCCACCCACTGCTCCAGGTTCCAGTTCCTGGACCCTCTGCCCAGCAGTCATGGTCTGCCCAAGCTCCAACTCTGTTGCTATTTCTCTGGGCTCTTTCCTACCTTTCTTCTTTCTTGCCGCCAAGTTAAAGAAGTATGGGCTGGATGAATGGACTGTAAGGTGGATAGAAAGCTGGCTAGATCGTCGGGCTCAACGGGTCGTGATCAATGGCTCCATGTCTAGTTGGCAGCCGGTTTCAAGCGGAGTGCCCCAAGGGTCGGTCCTGGGGCCGGTTTTGTTTAATATCTTTATTAATGATCTGGAGGATGGTGTGGACTGCACGCTCAGCAAGTTTGCAGATGACACTAAACTGGGAGGCGTGGTAGAGACACTAGAGGGTAGGGATAGGATACAGAGGGACCTAGACAAATTAGAGGATTGGGCCAAAAAAAACCTGATGAGGTTCAACAAGGACAAGTGCAGAGTCCTGCACTTAGGACGGAAGAATCCCATGCACAGCTACAGACTAGGGACCGAATGGCTAGGTAGCAGTTCTGCAGAAAAGGACCTAGGGGTCACAGTCGACGAGAAGCTGGATATGAGTCAACAGTGTGCTCTTGTTGCCAAGAAGGCTAATGGCATTTTGGGCTGTATAGGTAGGGGCATTGCCAGCAGATCGAGGGACGTGATCGTTCCCCTTTATTCGACATTGGTGAGGCCTCATCTGGAATACTGTGTCCAGTTTTGGGCCCCACACTACAAGAAGGATGTGGAAAAATTTGGAAAGAGTCCAGCGGAGGGCAACAAAAATGATTAGGGGTCTGGAGCACATGACTTATGAGGAGAGGCTGAGGGAACTGGGATTGTTTAGTCTCCAGAAGAGAAGAATGAGGGGGGATTTGATAGCAGCCTTCAACTACCTGAAGGGGGGTTCCAAAGAGGATGGAGCTCAGCTGTTCTCAGTGGTAGCAGATGACAGAACAAGGAGCAATGGTCTCAAGTTGCAGTGGGGGAGGTCCAGGTTGGATATTAGGAAACACTATTTCACTAGGAGGGTGGTGAAGCACTGGAATGGGTTACCTAGGGAGGTGGTAGAATCTCCTTCCTTAGAGGTTTTTAAAGCCCGGCTTGACAAAGCCCTGGCTGGGATGATTTAGTTGGGATTGGTCCTGCTTTGGGCAGGGGGTTGGACTAGATACCTCCTGAGGTCCCTTCCAACCCTGATATTCTATGATTCTATTCTTTCTCTGATGGCCCACCTCTGGGTTTACCACTGGAGCTTCCTCTGCTCCCCATGGCTACCTCTCCCCTCTCGGCTTCTTGCCAGAGTCTGTGGTCCCAGGCAGGATCCCAGGGCCTACTCCTCCTTATATCTGGCCAGCTCCCCTCCTCTCTAGGACTGACTGCAGAGTTCCTCCCTGCAGCCCTCCTCCTGCCAACATCCTCTCTTTATAGGCCTATCCCAGCTCCTCCCCAGCTGGGCTTCATCAGCCATGAGGCCTCATCAGAGTCCCTGGCTCTCCTCGAGGTGCAGCCTGTAAAGTTACTTGGCCTGTTTGACCTGTGCGGGCCTTGTGTGGGGTGGACACCGCACCACAGTGTCCAACATATTCAGCCTGAGGGCTGCACCGTTACCTGAAGAAGGTCAAAGGGCCATTCCCCTAGGCTGAGCAAGTGCCACCCTGGCTCTTCTACAGCTCTGCCTGGAGCTGCCCCAACCCTGCAGGCAAGCAGGCACTGGAGCAGCCAGAGCTACTCACGCCTCCCACTGCTGCCATGCTCAGAGTGCGGCTCAGGGTTCACATTTTCAGTTCACAGTCAGACACGCGCTTTCTTCTCAGCACCGTCGCCCTCGACAGCCACAGTTCCGAGCCTCTAGGGCCACGAGCTTTGATGTGACAATGTTTCCCGCGACTCTGATGCGCTCAGGTCTCAGAGTGAGGGCATGTGAGACATCCATAACTGTCTCCCCGTAAAGGGCGGCTTTCTGTACTACCCCCAAGAAGAGGTAGTGAGGCTGCACGGTAACTACCACACCCCTCTTCTGGGTGTTTCTAGACACAGAACTGCATCCCGTGCCCTGCATGTGCAGAGACGCAGATATGTCCCACAAATTACTTCCTGCTCCCCATGTTCTCCTTGTCTGTGGACTTCACCCTACCCAGCCCCGCCCCGCCCCCGACTGCAGTGTAAAAGCCTGGGGCTATATTTGCAGATGTGGAGCCCAATTGTATTCCCCTCTGGAGAACTGTAGCCAGCCGGGTGGCTGGTGGGAGCAGTTGTCTCTCTCTCCTCTGCTTTTAAGAACTTGAAAATTAGAGAGCACAATGGAAATACTTAAATTTAAGGGGGGCAACCAAGTAACTGATGTGCGGAGGGCTAGACTGCTGAGGATGGAGGGGGATAGTTAATTAAGGGAGGTGGACGCAAGGGTGCCAAAGGCTGTATCTTCTGCTCTACTGCTCTCATTAGAAAGTCATTGATCTTTCTCTTAAAAGTGGGCGTCAGAAACCCCTAACGACATTTATTTCCTGTTGTCTTTGCTCTTTACACAACATTAAGAATAAGGAAACCACACGGGCCCAGCTGGATTTATTTGGATACGGATTGGGTTTTATCCCTTTAAATAGTTGGAGAGCCATCCACCTGGCCTCCACTCTTCTACTGCAGGAGTCACCAGAACCTAACGCAGCAACAGTGTCCAGTGAGCATATGCAGCTAGGCCCTGTATGTTTATATAAATAGTTATAAAACACCATACAAGGACCAGCTACGTGTACGCACTGCACGCACTGTTACTGTGTCAGGTTCTGGTGGCGTCTGCAACAGAAGAGAGGAGGCAAACTGGGTGGCTCTCGGCTGGTTTAAAAAGAAGCTTCCCAATTCCTATTCACTACATCTGTTTAAAAAAAAAAAAAAAATGCAGGTCATGGACTTATCGAGGGCCAGATCACAGAGTTACCAGCCCTGAATAAAGGGGCAGGATCAGGAACCAGACTGGGATTCAGTCACTGTTCAGTCCCTCCTCTCCACCCTTGCTCCATGGTGGGCGGGAGGGGGGAAGTAAATCTGTGTCGGCCCTATACTCGGTGCAGATCACTTCTCCTGTAAGCCAGCTCACCCGACCATCAGCAGCTCAGTCCCCTCCGGGAAAGGCAGCAGAGGCCCTTTACAATATGTTTGATTGATGTAACTATGCACCAATGAGTAGTTATACAACAAACAAGAGTCCTGACTCCTAGTCTCCTGCTCCCTTTCCCCCCGTGTAACTGAGAAGAGAGCCTAGGATTCCTGGGTCCCCGCCCCTTGCTCTAAACCTTGGGCAGTGCTGTCATGTAACAGGTAAAACCGAACCTCATTCTCTTTGACATCCATTCCCAGGGGGAGAGGCTGGCGTCTCCCAGATGCGAATGGCCCATTTTGTTGATGGGAGGATGACACTGGAGGAGCCAACGCGAGTGATGCCTTTCCACGCTGTGCTGGAGAACCCCCGTTTCTCCCTTTGGGGAGCTATTTTGAAAAAAGGAAAAGCTATGCTATCTAGTTCAATCCACGGTATCACACTGCTTTACCGGGCACTCAGGGCTGAAAATATAACTCTCCACCTCTACTTGATACCTGACATCCTTCCATTGAGAAAGGTAACTGAGACTCAACAAGAGTGAGCCAGATTCACCATTTACCATACAGCACATAACCTGGAATAACTCAGAACATCCTGTAACATGCACGGTTGTGAGAGAGCTGCACAAAGAGAAGTGTAGCCAAGGTTGTTTCTAAATTCCATGTGATTCTATATGCTTTTTACTCTCTGAAATATGATATTCTATCTAGGAAGTGATATGTGTGGACTGTTAGAGGTGACCCCTGAGAGATTTTTTAAAAAATTTAGGGGGGCAGGGGGAGGTGTTTAATGACATATAAAGAATTCCTGTAAGACTATTTACTATCCATTTTTTCCCTGTTTGTTTTATAACTTACAAATTTCAGAAATGCCAAGTCTGGTCTTCACTGGTTTTGCTGGAGGATCACTGGGAGGTCTAAGTTGTGCATGTTGTTAGCTGCTACTATCTTAAGTGAAAAGAGGAGTGTGTTGAATCTTTAACACAGGGTTACTCAAAAAATTAGTCATTCAAAGTAAATTTTTTTTTTCTTTTTAAATCATTTGGGTAAATTTTTTGTCAACAGTTCAACTTTCACTCTGATGTCATCACCTACACTTGCTGTCCAGTCATCATAGAATAAAAAACCCAAACAAATAAATTTTTAAATAAACCATTTCAGGCCTTTGTTAGCAATCATAACGGAGGGGGGGGGGAAAGGCAATAGACCTATTTTTTCCCCCTCCAGTTGCAGGTCACCTTGAATAAAAAAAAATGGAGTGAATGAATTATGCCTGCAAACCTTCTATTCCAATAACACTAAAATGTTTAAAGTTAGAACTTCAAAAATGTCTTGTACATTTTGATTCTTAAACATCAATTCCATTTTGAAATAAGTTTGTTCACTAGTTTAGAGGTGTAATGTTTCAATCTGACACATTCACATATGCTTTAGAATTTTTCTGTCTTCTTACTTCAGGAGGGCATATTAAGGGCACCTCAGATTGAGACCAGACAGCACAATCAAAGGAATGAAAGTTGAGGATAACAAATTGAAAGACAGCAGCCTACAGCTGGTATTGTGCTGTTCATAACTGTAGAACAGACTGAGACAACTCTTTCCTGGAATTTGAGACCTGGTTTACATCTCTAATGTAAGATCAAGCTGTAAAATAATTAGGGAAAAATCAGATGACATGATTATATCTGTTGGAGATTTGCGGGTTCATTCTCTAACCAGAATTTTAGCTGGAAAGGGGGAAAAATTAAGATTATCTAAACCCCAAAGGAGTAAGGACTTGGGGTAAAGTTTTCAGAAGCACCCAAGTGGCTTAGGAATTATCGTAGGGTCCCCATCTCAGAGAACCCCCCATGGCATAGGTTGGCCCTGCAGGTATTCCACCCTCAGTTTCCCCTTCTCAGAATACTTCTCCAGCACTCTCTGAGGCTAGTAACACCCACAGCACGGGGCAACTTATTAATATGGATGTCTCAAATCACAAAATAAAGTTCAATGCCATTGGTTCCAGCTCTACCACCTTCTGTGACTCCAGGCTCTTTATGAATCTACACCTTCCTTCAGACTGGAGGGCTCTCACTCTTACCCCAGGAGTCCCCTGCTAGAGTCCAAAGCGCCCATACAAAGGGCCAACACAAACAATGTCCTCCCACCCTGGGCCCATAGAAAGTACCCATCCCTCCTGGGTTCTCCTCCAGGTCACTTCTCCTTATGCAGAACAGTGGCAAAAGCGGGGGCTCCCCAGGGCTTTCCTCTGGCTTGAGTCTCCACCACTCAGGCCTCACTACTTCTGGTCGGCCTCCCCCCTTCCTGGCACCCAAGCCTCCCTCTCTATCACTTGACCCCAGGTGCTCACCACCCCTAATCAGGCCTAGCCAGGGCATTCGTGTTCAGTCATGGGTGACCTTAGACTCTCCTTAATGGAACTTTTCCCCCCTGTGACAGGAGCCTACGTCCCACTTGCAGAAAAGCCAGGCTTAGGGCCAGATTTACAAAAGTCACCTAAAGATGCAGATAGGTGCCTAACTCACTTAGGCATATAGTGGGATTTATCAAAGTGCCTTACTCCCATTGACTTTCATAGATTCCAGGGCCAGAAGGTACCACTGTGATAATCTAGTCTGACCACCAGTACAACAGAGGCCACAGAACTTCCCCAGAATAATTCCTGGTTGATCCAGAACAAATCTTTAAAAAACAAACACCCAATCTTGAACTAAAAATGCCCAGTCATGGAGAATCCATCACAACCCTTGGTAAATTGTTCCAGTGGTAAAAATGTATGCCTTATTTCCAGTCTGAATTTGTTTAGTTTCAACTTCTAGCTAGTGGATCATGTCAGACCTTTGTCTGCTAGACTGAAGATTAACTCCATGGCAGGGCCTAACCTGCTTTGACCCTTTTGAAAGTCCCACCTGGCACTTTTCTCTAGGCAGCTAAACACCTGTGTAAATTTGGCCCTAATTGCCCAACTCACTCTCGAAAATGTGCCTTAGGCTCCTAGGTCACCTAGGTGCTTGTCAAAATTTTGCCCTCATTTAAATTTTCTATGGATGCAGACATTAACTGAACAAAGAAGCAGTTGGGCAGGTGGGAACAGATCCATCTTTTCATATGGGGGAGAGCAAACATCACTAGGCTTGGGAGGATTTGATTTTTATCAGTATATACGTCAGTAAACGTTGATTTCACCATATAAACACAAACTGATGACAAAATTTCAAAAATTACAGATAGGCCAAGCAAGAGAAATGCTGATTAAGAAGTTTTCAGCGTTTGATTTGAGGCTATTGACTTTGTATATGTGGACACGTTGTTTTGCCACTTACTAAACTTTAATTTTTTGAATCTCAACCGCTACTGGCATTAAATAATTGTTGTCTGACCAGCCCCATCGTTGCCTGATGTCCCCGTAATGTCCCACAACTGTGAAAATTTAAATAGATAAAAATAGAGGGAAAATGCTTAAAAATAAATATTGATATTTTCTGTCCAAATTAAAAATTGAATTTTGCCAAGCCTCATTAGAAATAAGGCTACGAATCGGTCACAGAGTCCATAATTTTAAGAGATGTCTGCTTTGGCTTCAACCCCGGGGGGGCAGGGCTTGGCTTTGGTGTTGGGTGTCAGCTCCATTTCCGTGATTTATTGTTTCTTGCCCATGTCCTGTCTGTGATTTTAATAAAAATACCTGTGCCAAAATTGAAGCCTTAATTATAAACAATTAAAATTGTACCAAGATTGCTCTTCAGTTGCCGTTCTCATGACACTGTTTTCCCTTGTTGTCATAACAATAGGCTCCTCTTTCCAAGGACTGCTGTGTAGGAGGAAAATGGGAATTAGGACCCTGCACTGGCTCTCCTGCCCCTGTGGTAGTTCCTACACAATGTGTCTTCTGTGGCCCTGTCTGCCTGTATCTCAGAAATGACTGTGCTTGTTCTTTACAGGTAATTGATGATAATGAAAGAAAGTACAAATCAATACGTGTGCGCAAACCTCCTACAACTAAACCATTGACCTATGGCTCCCATTATGCTGTATCCAGCACATCAAATGTAGAGATAACACCTGAGGTGAGTGAAATTATCTTCTGTGCTTCAATGAAGGCATAAAAATATCAGGGCCCTCTCCTGAAGTCATTATTGCAACTTAGTCATGGCACTAGGGGGCGCTGTGCTGCAGGGAGCAGGGTGGGAGGTATAGTAGGGGGCGCTTTCCCCTCACAGTCCATGCTGGCCCCAGTGCCCCTGTATAGTGCTGCAGGATGCTGTGCTCAAGGAATTTTGAAGCAACATTTGGATGCACTGAAGGAGAGAGGTGAGGAGGTTGCAATAATCAAGGCAAGAGATGACTGAAGCCTGGAGCTAGGTTCTACTGGTAACTGGGATATCCTTTGCACTGTTGATTCCCAGCTCTGCTGGCTCTGGCAGGGTCACCCCTAATGGAGCGCCTTGTCTTCACTGCAGGAGCTGGAGTTCTGTTATGTAGATCCCCAGGATGAACATCCATACATGGAGATTTACACCCAGAGCTTGGTGGACAAACTGGAGCTCAGCTTGGTGAAGCAAAGTGATAGGCAACTGATCTGGAAGGCCCTTGTGAGACCAGGTAGGTTCAGCTCAGCAGAAGATCTTGGCAGGGGTGAGAGGTTTGTACAAGAAAACCCCTCTCGGCACTTGCTGATGGTCAGTGCAAAACTCAGGTGCCGACCAAGGCAGTGGGGGTGCACCACAGCCTTGTCCTATTGTGATGGACTTGGAGCTGCCTTGTAATATTGTATTGATACAGTATGGTGGCTTGGTGATTGTGGTGTTTGCTGAAACCATATATTGACTTAAAGTATCAGGGGGTAGCCGTGTTAGTCTGTAGCCACAAAAATGACAAGGAGTCCGGTGGCACCTTAAAGACTAACAGATTTATTTGGGCATAAGCTTTCGTGGGTAAAAAACCCACATGCATCTGAAGTGGGTTTTTTTACCCACGAAAGCTTATGCCCAAATAAATCCGTTAGTCTTTAAGGTGCCACTGGACTCCTTGTTGTTTTTGTGGCTACAGACTAACCCGGCTACCCTCCTCCTTGTTTTAAGAAGACTCTCTGGTCGCTATAAACCACTAGTCATAGGCTCCTGAAGGGAAGACCAGCAGAGCAATAATGGTGAAGACACAGTGTGCTGTAGCCCAGGGCCTGGCCTAAGCATGGAAGGATCACATGATTCCATCCCAAGAACGGTGAAGGCACGAGCCCTAAGAAGGATGCACTGAGCTGCCAGAAAGGGGACAGAGAGGTGCAGCTAGCCCTGTAACTGGGACTTCTACAGACCTAAAGGGACAGGAGTTAGCGTTTAGGTGGGAGAGGTGCTCTGTTTTGAGCAGCCAGTTGCACAATATCAAAGTTTATAAGTTTTGTCCTGAACCATTTCCAGAGAAATCTTGAGAATCTCAGGCATCCTGTTGAAAAGCTCTTGAAAAGTTTTAAAATCATCCAGTGGTTGCTACTGACAAGATGACTGCCGCTTCTGGGGATGATCATAGAAATGCAGGGCAGGAAGGGTCCTTGAGAAGTCATAACATCCAGCCCCCCTGCACTGAAACAGGGCCCAGGAATCCTAGACCATCCCTGACAGGTTCGTCCAACCTGTTCTTAAAAACCTCCAATGATGGGGATTCCACAACCTCCCTGGGAAGCCTATTCTAGAGTTTAACTACCCTTAGAGTTACAAATTTTTTCCTAATATCTAACCTAAATCTACCTTACTGCAGATGAAGCCCATTACTTCTTGTCCTACCTTCAGTGGACATGGAGAACAATTGATCACTGTCCTCTTTATAACAGCCTCTAACACAGGGGTAGGCAACCTATGGCATGTGTGCCGAAGGCAGCACGCGAGCTGATTTTCAGTGGCACTCACATTGCCCAGGTCCTGGCCACCGGTCCGGGGGTCTCTGCATTTTAATTTAATTTTAAATGAAGCTTCTTAAACATTTTTAAAAACCTCATTTACTTTACATACAACAATAGTTTAGTTATATATTAAAAACTTAGAGAAAGAGACCTTCTGAAAACGTTAAAATGTATTACTGGCACATGAAACCTTAAATTAGAGTGAATAAATGAAGACTTGGCACACCACTTCTGAAAGGTTACCAACCCCTGCTCTAACATATTTAAAGACTGTTATCAGGTCCCCACTCAGGGCTTGTCTATACTTACGCGCTGGTTCGGCGGCAGGCAATCGAACTTCTGGGTTCGATTTATCGCGTCTTGTCTGGACGCGATAAATCGAACCCAGAAGTGCTCGCCGTCGACTCCGGTAATCCTGCTCAGCGCGAGGAGTACGCGGAGTCGACGGGGGAGCCTGCCTGCCGCGTCTGGACTGCGGTAAGTTCGAACTAAGGTACGTCGACTTCAGTTACGTTATTCACGTAGCTGAAGTTGCGTACCTTAGTTCGAATTGGGGGGGTTAGTGTAGACCAGGCCTCAGTCTCCTTTTCTCAAGACTAGACATGCCCAGTTTTTTTTAACCTTTCCTCACAGCTCAGGTTTTCTAAACCTTTTCTCATTTTTGTTGCTCTCCTCTGGACTCTTTTCCATTTGTTCACATATTTCCTAAAGTACGGCACCCAGAATTGGACACAGGGCTCCAGCTGAGGCCTCACAAGGTCAAGTCGAGTGGGACAATTACCTCCTGTACCTTACAGACGGCATTCCGGTTAATATGCCCAGCATGCTGTTTTGCAACTGCACCACATTGTTGACTCAAATTCAGTTTGTAAGAACATAAGAATGATCCTTTTAGCCCAATATTCTGTCTTCTGACAGTGGCTGGTGCCAGATGTGCCAGAGCGAATAAACAGAACAGCAATTATCAGATAATCCATCCCCTGTTGGCCAGTCGCAGCATCTGGCAGTCAGAGGCTTAGGGACACCCAGAGTATGCAGTCGCATCCCTGACCATCTTGGCTAATAGCCATTGATGGACCTATCCTCCATGAACTTATCAAATTTTTTTTTTGAACCCAGTTATAGTTTTGGCTTTCATGACATCCCTGAGCAACGAGTTCCATAGGTTGACTGTGCGTTGTGTGAAGACGTTTCATTTTGTTTGTTTTAAACCTGCTGCCTATTAATTTCATTGGGTGACTCCTGGTTCTTGTGTTATGTGAAGGAGTAAAAAAAAATTTCTTATTCACTTTCTCCACAATATTTATAATTTTATAGACCTCTGTCATATCCCCCCTTAGTCATCTCTTTTCTAAGATGAATAATTCCAGTCTTTTTAATCTCTCCTTGTATGGAAGCTGTTCCATACCCCTAATCATTTTTGTTGCACTTCTCTGTACTTTTTCCAATTCTAATATATCTTTTTTGAGATGGGGTGACCAGAACTGCATACAGTATTCCAGGTGTTGGCATAACATGGATTTATATAGTGGCATTATGATATTTTCTGTCTTATTTTCTCTCTCTCGTCTAATGGTTCCTAACATGCTGTTAGCTTTTTTGACTGCCTCTGCACATTGAGCAGATGTTTTCAGAGAACTATCTATAATGAATCCCTGATCTCTTTCTTGGGTGATAAGTAATTGAGAACCCATCATTTGTTTGTATAATTGGAATTATGTTTTCCAATGTGCATTACTTTGCTTTTATCAACACTGAATTTCATCTGCCATTTTGTTGTTTTCATCTGCCTTTCACAGTTTTGTGAGATCTCTTTGTAATTCTTCACAGCGAGCTTTGAACTCCCTGAGTAATTTTGTATCATTTGCAAACTTAGCAACCTCACTGTTTACCCCCTTTTCCAGATAGTTTATGAATACGTTGAATAGGACTGGTCCCAGTACAGACCCCTGGGGGACACCATTATTTACCTCTCTCCATTCTGAAAACTGACCATTTATACCTACCCTTTGTGTCCTATCTTTTAACCAGATACTGATCCATGAGAGGACCTTCCATCTTATCCCATGACAGCTTACTCTGCTTAAGACCGTTTGGTGAGGGACCTTGTCAAAGGCTTTCTGAAAATCTAAGTACACTATATCCATTGGATCCCCCTTGTCCACATGCTTGTTGGCCCCCTCAAAGAATTCTAGTAGATTGGTGAGGCATGATTTCCCTTTACAAAAACCATCTTGACTCTTCTCCAACAAATCGTGTTCATCTGTGTGTCTGATAATTCTGTTCTTTACTGTAGTTTTAACCAATTTGCCTGGTATTGAAGATATTCATCCATCTGACTCCTACGTGCTACCACAATACAAATACTAAAATGGGGGAAATACACTGAAATTGGGTGTCCCCACAAGCCATTGCTATGTTTGTAGTACAATGGGTTTCACATATTATTACTAAAACTTACTGTGGTGCTGAGTGGTGCTAATGGCTGCCATCAGGGGTGCAGGACCATCAGAGACCAATGGGGGCAGCTAAGCATTTGCCTTCTTACCTAACAGCAGGAGCAATTGAGAAGGTTTTGTAGTGCAGAGGGGAGCCTGCAGGGCAAGCCCATTATTATTCGTTGTGTGGCCTGAGACCCACAGTCATGGCCCAGAACCCAATTGTGCTAGGTGCAGTACATTAATTTATAGGTGTATTACGGTAGTGCCCAGGAGCTCTATCCAGGGACCAGGACTGCACTGTGCTAGGGATTGTCCCTGTCCCAAAGAGCTGGCAATCTGAGCCGGAAGCCGACCTGGTGCTGGGTGTTCGGAGGTCGCAGTGGGTCGGCCATTAGAGAGGCAGTGGCTGGGTGACCCTAGAAGGAAGCAGAGGCAGACCAGCTGCTTATTGGGCACCAGGCTGCGTGTCTGGTTGGGGATGTCTGCTAAAGCCCATGAATTGTACGTTCCTCGTGTTGGTCAGGGAAGCAGGATGCGGTGTCTGTTTCTGGGCATAAACAGATGACACCAAAAGTATACCGGACTTCTATCACTGATCACTCGTCCAAACTGAAACTACCCTGCAGGGCCCAAAATTACAGCTTTCTGCCCAGCCAAAGGAACAACAGTATTACAGAGATTTACAATGCGCTGAGCTTATCATCCTGTACTGGGCGTTTGACGTATCAATAATAATAACCAGAAGCTAAAAGCCTGAAGCAACAGCTGTGTGTGCTTGTCATCTTGAGATCACTTACTGCTGTTTTAATGACAATACATTCGTTGTTACAGTGGGTTTGTTCGTAGATTTCTTGAAAAAGTAATAAGGAAAAAGATTTTAAAAACACGAGCCTAGCGGGCACCTTGGGCAGAGTCAGCAGTGGCATAAGTGCTGTTGTACAGAGACATGTCACTGGGTGCACACGGTAACTTGCACTCACCAGATGCCAGATGAGTGTGTGTGTGTTCAGTGTGTAAATTTCTGCTATTTGGTGTTCTGCGGGGGGACCCAGAGCAGCTGTCTAAGAACACAGGCATTGCCACACCTGTTGCGTCTGACATCTGGGTACAGTCTCTGACAGTGGCCAGAACAGATCCTTCAGGGGACTCTGAATAACTCATTAACTGGTGTATCATTCTCTCAGCTCCAAAGATAATCACACTGCCATGTGACTGGCTTAGCCAATCAGATCTGCAAGTGCCCTGTGTGGTGTGAGGCAAGCAGAGTAAACAGAAAATTATGATAAAAAGTTTGTTTCACTTTTCTTCCCTCCTCCCTTCCAGGTGACATTGAGCACAGTTCACCATCAACAGAACGCCACACAGGTCAGTTCATCTCCCCTGATTTACAGAGGCCTTATTTTAGCAGGATAGAAATTACAGAAGAAAAAAGACATAGCGAGTCAGTGGCAGAACCAGGACTCCTCCCCTCCCCCGTACTGTAACCACTAGGCAGTAGTCCTGCCCTGACCCAGGATTCTAATTCAGAGCAGGTTCAGGGAGTGAGTGGACATCAAGGGGGGGAATTCTGACAGGAAAGAAGAGAGGCTTTGGGCATTGGGAGGTATTCCAGCAAGGAGGGGAAGAGGGTCAAGGTAACGGAATTAGAGAGGTATCTGCGGGAGGGGACAGCAGAAGCGTGGAGAGGGGTGAGCAAAGGGGAACCACACAGACTGGACCAGAGGCAGTGAGGCACTGAGTACAGAGCACTGGGATTGCGAGGAGGTACCAAGCATTTGCTGTAGAGGAGAGAGGTGTAAGATGAAGAGGGAGAGCCTGGGAGTGAAGGAGAGCAGGAAATGGTACCTGGGTGGGGAGTGGCTGGACTGGACTTTGCTGGCCCATGTTCTAGGAGGTGGCACGGGGAAGACAATGAAAGATCACCTCCTGGACACCCTGAAAAACCTCCTAGAGGCAGAGATGAAGGAGTTCAAGAGCAAACTGACTGACATCAAGCTGGAAAAGGGATACCACAGCCACGTACCTCGATGTGACCTGGAGAAAGCAGACGCTGTGGAGCTCACTGAGCTGCTAATCAGTCACTACGGGGAGCACTATGCGGTGAGGGTGACCACGATGGTGCTGGACGCTATCAACCAGAGAGACCGGGCAGAGAGACTTCGCAGGGCAACAGTGGCTGGTCAGGAATGAGCCAGTGGGGGAAGATCAGCCTCCTCTCTACAGGGGATCCCACTGCATCTTCATCTCTGCATCCTCCCTGTTCTCTGAATTCTAAGCACAAACTCAGACGGAATATACTCCTCTCTCTTCGTAAGTCAGAGTCCTTGGGAACTGCATACAAAGCCAATTCCTTTCCGAGTTCACGTTTTTCTGACCCTTTAGGATCAGGTTTCACTTTAATTGTCTCTCAGTCCCCTCCTTCCCCCAAGCTCTTTTCAACCCCCCACTCCTATCTGCAACCTGCAGTTTTGATTTTATTATCCCCCTACCCACTTGAATACATTTGTTCTCTATTTATCATTCCACTAGTAACTCTGCAGGGTGTTTAATAGGTGGTGTTTAAGTTAGACATTTTTAAATCACCACGTCCAGGTAACTTGCATCCAAGAGTTTTAAAAGAGCTGGCAGAGGAGTGCTAATGTTGATTTTCAATAACCCTTGGGAAGTTCAAGAAGACTGGAAGAAAGTGAATGTTGTGCCAGTATTTTAGAAGGGTAAATGGGATGACCCAGGTAATTATAGGTTGGTCAGCCTGACATCAATCCTGGGCAAGATAATGGCACAGCTGATATTGGACTCGATTAATAAAAAATGTAATTAAGGTAATAAAATTAATGCTAATCACAGTGGGTTTGTGGAATATAGATCCTGTCAAACCCACTTGATACTCTTTTTCATGAGACTACAAGTTTGGCTGATAAAGGTAATAGTGTAGATGTAAGATACATAGACCTGTCTATACTACAAAGTTATGTCAGCGTAAGTCAGCTTGTTTTGGCGTAGTTTTACATGTGTCCACACCTGCATTAGTCTCCTGCTAACATAACATCACCTCTCCAGATGACCAAGCCAGAGCTGACCTATTTCTAGTCTAGACACTGCATTACCTGTGTTGATCCCAACAGTTCTCCAGCAGCTGTCCCACAATGCCCTGGTTGCCCCCGTGACAGTGACCATTCTGGTCACTATTGTGAAATCCATTGCCCCGGGGTCACAGACCCTCCTTCCGTCCCCTTGAAAAACTTCGTTGTGTTTTGGAAATGCCTTTTCCTGATTGTCCACTTTGGCAAGCATGCAGCAGGCCAGGGAGACCACCACCACATCTGGGGCTCCCCTGCAGACCTGCCACTTCTACAATGAACTACACCTGCTACCAGCACCCCAAATCTGACCAGGGACGCTAGGCATGGGATCCCCCGCAATGCACAGTGAGGAGGAGGAGGAGAAGGGGGTGAGAAGCAGAGGGGAATACAAAACATGCTGGGAGCCAGGAGCTGCTTGAAACTCTGCCGGAATTGAGCCTGTCCCATCACACGAGCGCAGATGAGCCCGGGGATGACGGTGAAGGGAGCTCGGGTACGTGTATTGGTGCATTACTCCTCATATTCAGAAGAGCACTGGGAATACAATTAAAATTAATATTCTCAAATACATTATTGTTGCCACTTCAATCAACTGCTATATGCTAGGAAATGAATTCAAAAAGATTATTGTAGCAGTCCTAATTACGCAATCCACAACAGATCCCTGGCCCATGCTCAGATTGAGGTAGAAAGAAGAGGTGGAGGCCGTGTTCACCTTTCCTTTCTTTTTCCTGTTTTTGCTAGGCATGGAGGATGACAATTCTCATGCAGAGTACTATGTTCATCCATACAGTGACGGCCCTTGTACTGTCGAGATCTCAATGAAACTTTCATGGAGATACTGTACAATCCTCCCCATATCATTGTAAGGGATGGTAGCCTTGTTTCTTCCCCCACGATAGGAGACATTCCCGTGCCACTCTGCATGGAGATCCACTGGCACACTGCATTAAGTGGGCTAGCAGCATTTAGGCTTCGGCAGTTTAGGTACGCTACCAGCAGCTGCATTCTCCGAGCTTTGGTCAACCTCAGGAATGAGATATCCGCCAAAATCACCACTGCCTGTGAAAATAGTGACAATATTCAATTCACTGCATTTTCCCTTTACTTATACCGAAGGGCTGCTGGCATGAAAACCTCCAGTGTAATAGGTTCCCATCTTCCCATACTCCTCTGTACTCTGGCTTGAGCTGCAGAGCCACACTGTGATGGGCTGTCCCAAAGCTAAAGTGACCATTTGCATTATTAAATAAAGATCTTTGTGGGAATAACATAAGGGGAGTTTTCCCCCTTCTGCTCCGACTGTAAATCTAACAGTGATTCAGTCTGTTTTTATCAGCAGCTTCTGCCAGGGTGCCCTTGAGAGGTGCCCCCTCCACGCCTGCTGAGCATCTGATCCAGCTCACGTGAAGAACTGCAGCTTGTGACTGCGAACGCAGGGATTGGAGGGGGTTGAATGATCAAGAGCAGAGTGAAAGACAAAGATGGAGAGGTCGGATGTGGGAGGAGAGGCAAAGGGGCCAAGAGGTGCAGTGGGAAGTGCATCAGGACATAAAGGCCCAAACCCGTCTTCAACTACTGGAGCATATGGTGGCAGACACCTTTGCTATAAAGCATGTAAGACTCCACATGCGTCATCTTCAAGGATGACTCAGAACAGTATACGTTCTGAGAAGACATCAATGCCGTTAACAATCAAAAACTCACTCAACTAGTGGGCAGATCCTCACAACATATGTGCAAGTGTTCCCTTCACCCAACCACACCTGTCACTAACATTGACGATGGATGCAAATGGTCCAGAGGATTATGGAGCTAAATGCCCAAAGACTCCAGACACAGCAGCCTTTCCATCCCATGGAAAACTCCATCGTTTCTGCTCCCTATACCCCCAGAAGAACAGGTGACAGCATCGCATGAACTGGGGTGGTGGAACCCGGAGAAGGGGGGGGAAAGCACATTCACAATGCAAATATTCAGGGGGGTCTGCCCCCATGTAAACTTGTGCATGCACAGTAGGATGGGGCGTGGAGGTGCAGGGGTGGTGTTAAATAGGTCTTGGAGCAGTGGGAAGTTCCAGAAGACTGGCAGAAAGCAAATCTTGTGCCAGTATTTTAAAAGGGTAAATGGAATGACCCAGGTACATATAGGCCTGCCTGACATCGATCTCGGGCAAGATAATGGAGCAGCTGATACAGGACTCGATTTATAAAGAATTAAAGGAGAGTAAAGAGATTAGTGCAAATCAGCATAGGTTTATGGAAACCAAAGACTGTCACAAACTTAATACCTTTTTTTTTTTAATGAGATTACAGGTTTGGTTGATAAAGCTAATCGTGTTGATGCGATAAACTTCTGTAAGGCATTTGACATGATACTGCACAAAATTTTGATTACAAATATATGATATAATATTAATGTAACTATAGTGCCCTCATGGAGAAGATGGAGTCTGCTCTGCAGGTGGCTCTGTGTACCGGGGATGTTTTGGGACCCCTGCTGGTTGTTTTGGGAATTAGCTCCTTCAGCCGTGTGCCTTCGCTAGTGGTGTCTCACTCACCGTTACTCAGTCTCCATCATCCTCACAGTCGGACCCACATCATTCCCAGACCACGGTGTCCACTTCTGGACACTGCCCTCCAGCTGTGCCCTCTCCCCTGGCTCTCCCCTGCCCCCGTTCCAGGGGAGCAGCAGCTTCTGGTTCTATCACTTGCCTCAGTGGCTCACTGCAGTCTTCAATCTCGCCCCTTCCTCCAAGGGCAACTGCAGTCTGGCTTAGCCACTCTCATCACTGGCCGAGTGGGGGGAAAGTAGGGGACCAGGACTGCCCCCTACTCTGGACCCCAACCCAGGGACCCTCTAGTAGCAGCCACTTACTGCCCTCCTCCAACTCCCCTCTATGGCCTGCTTCCCTGGGCCACTTCCCCACAGCCCCAGCCCCTTCTCTGCCCTTTGTGTCAGGGCCCCAGTCTGGTAGTTGTCAGCCTAGAGCTCTCCCAGCCTCGGCTGATCCTGCCCAGCACTGCTCTGTCTTAGGTGCTTCCCTAAGAGCCAGTTCTTCTCCCTTTGCCATCCAGGGAGAGAACAAGCTCCTCGCCACCCTACAGCCTTCTTATAGGGCCCAGCCTGGCCCTGATTGGCTGCTTTGAAGCCTCCACTTGATTGGCTCTCAGTAAGCCCTTTCCTGGTTGGCTGGGGCTCTGCGCAGCCTCTCTGGCCTGCTTTAACCCCTTCCATGCCAGAGTGGGGCAGCTGCCTCACTACACTCTGGCTGAGAAAAGGCATGCGCAGGAATGCAGCAAAAAACCTCCCTCTTCCCCCAGGGGCACCTGTTCTAACCCCCCCACCCTGTCCCAAGTGGTCACATGCACACACACACCAGAGTAGTACAATGAATATAGGACAGGGAACTATTTATGTACAGAGGGATGAAAGGAGAAAAACAACAAGGGGAAAGATGGGGAAGCGATAAAACAGGGTTACATCGAACGCGAGGCCCCACATGCCCAGTGGTACCACAGTCTGAAAGGACAGACACCGAGCAACACATCTGCACTCCGAGTTCAGGAGTCCTGGGCAGCGTTCCAGTCAAGTGGTGAGTCTTGGATGCTCCTGGTCACCGGTGCCAGTAAACCGCTCCAGTTCCCTCTTCTGCCACTCTCTGCAAACCCACACAAAGCGACCACCTCCCACTTAGCTAGCTGCCGCCTCCCTCCTTATTCCCAATGCAAGGGCACAAGCCCCAGTACTCTCAGCCCCATACCACTCTGGGCAGCCGTGATACTGGGTCCAGCTCCGGCCTGTCCTCAGGTGATTCTTCCCTGGCACAGCGCTCCTCCTGGGGCGTCCCCAGTCAGCTGCTCTGGGGTTCAGGCAGGTTCTCAGCTGTGGAGGCCTCTTGTCTGCAGCTCCAGACACACAACTCCTGTTGCCCTCCCTCTCTCCATGCCCCTGGAACAACCAGCACTGCCTGTGCCTCAGGACGAGGATTTAAAGGGGCCATGCTCTCTAATCCCCAAGGATTAATCCACATGGATTAAAAACTGGGCTAGCTGACAGGTCTCAACGTGTAGTTGTAAATGGGGAATCATCATCAAGCAGGCAGAGGTGAAAGTGGGCCAGTGTGGGCCTGTACGGCGTACCGGTAAGAACCGGCTGCTGGTACCAGCCCACGCACGGCTGACGTTAAAGCGCTGCCACTTTTGCTGCCCCCCATCAGCAGCCCTGCCAGTAGGGGCAAAAGGGGTAGCGATGTTAAAGCGCTGCCTGACCCTACCAGCAGGGCCACTGACAGGGAGGGAGCAAAAGGGGCAGCCGCCCCGGGGCCCAGTGATTTAAAAGGCAGCAGGCAGACGCCCCGAGCCCTTCAAATCACCGCTGGAGCCCTGGGGCTGCCAGCTTCTGCCACTGCAGCCCCAGGGCTTTTGGCCACCGCAGGAGCGGCGTCCATGAAGGGT